CACACACACACACACACACACACACACACACACACTGCTGATATGTATTGTTCATACAGATAGTTGGTATTGACCTGGAGAGAGGCAGAGCTAGCCTTATTTTATTTGTTATTCTGTTTCATACTGATCAAAACTTTCATAAAATTTTGTTTGCAGTTATCATTGTTATGTTCTGTTTAATTCATGGATTTTCTGCTTTTCTCATGATAACTAGGCCTTTTGTATTTCCTACATTCAGTTGTGTCTGCCTAATGCTGGCCTTAGGGCTATACATGCATAATCGAAAGGAGGATCAGTGTTTCAACTGTGATTATTAACGATGATAATTCTGAGTTTGATATTGTAAATTTGGTCATTTTAGTTCCTACCGAAGATTTATTGGTAAGAAGTTGAGAAAATGTTAGTTTTATTGTTATAAGCATCTATACTAGAAATTACTCATTAAAAATTTGTGTTATCAACATTTGTTTTCATTGTGAATTCCTGCCCACCCAAATATATGCATACAAAAATCACGTAATAAAATGTGTGGTTGTCAGGTTTTTGTATAAAGCGAGAATCTTTACAGTAGGTGTCTGTGACTTGTTGGTGATAAATTTCAACAATAAACAAAATAATATAATCAGAATAAGTCAAACATATGTACAAAAGAAAAATTTGTTACACTATTGTTTACCACAATTGAATCTAGAGATTTAAATAATTCTCTTTTTGTAAAAAGTCCACACAGGTGGGTTCAGCTACTTTAGAACACCCTTTGACAAGACAAATTATTATTCTTTATCTCTGTTATTACAATACAAACTCTGAAACTCACTTTAGAAATTGCCTGTTATGGCTAAACACACACACAGGCTAACTTCACTTTTCTTTCACTTTCACTAACTTACTTTCTCTCTATATCTGCACATATTTATAACATGTGACAGCAAAATCTAGTTCACTAGTAACAACATTACACTTAGAGGCTTCGAGTAAGATGATGTCAATAATGTTACAAAAGCCTAGTATAACAGTTAAAGTGCATACACAACGTATGACTCGTATAGAGTTATGTAATGGAACTTTTCATAACTATCGCTTTTAAAATCATTAAATTTGAACTCTCTTGTTATGAAAACTAAATAATCACTAAATAAACTAAATAATAACTCTTAAATCGAACAGTCTTGTATATCCAACAGTGGTAATAGTTTCATTTTGAGCTTACTTACTGATTAAGTGTGTGTGTGTTCTTTACTGTTAAAACTTGTGTACTTGAGAATGATCTCACTAGAGATCAAAACATCATGCCCATTTTAAAAATAAATCTTGCTTACTGTAAGAGCTGTAACTTGTATTAAAAAAAAAAGTGTGTTAATGTAACTAATTGAGCTGTATACACTGTACTGTGTTACCACACACAGCCATTCATGCTCAGATGAACTCTTTACAAAATTTATGTGCATAAAGCAGCACAGAGGTGTAGCTTGACAATGATAAAAACCTTAGTGAATAACAGCAGTATTAGCCAATCACAAAAGTGAACTTTTCTTAACGTTTTCAGCTCCTTTTGTTGGATTGTACCAACATTTCTCTTGCACAAAGTACAATCTTTTTCAAACCAAAAATGGACCAAAAGATATTTTTGTGGGGTGTCAGAATTTCAAGTTTGAGATTTTTGAGTTTGTAGTTAGGGAATTTACCAATGATTTTGGTCAAGAATCAAAGTCAACATTACATGTGTAGTGTGGCCACGAATAGGTGTACAGTAGACTGTGATGCTGTTTTGAGTAAGGGTCTGTTCCAGTGTGTTAGTCATCTGTTGGACAACATGGAAGTTTTAAGTTGGTTGTCCAAGAAAGTTTTTAGTCATCTCCAACGATTGTTAAAATTGAGCCCTCCTAAAGAAAGTTCATGACACTAGTACTGTTAGTAACATAAGTGGTTAAGATTGAAAACTAAAACTTGTCAAAATGATGTTAAAGTATCTCAGGGTATGGTCTTTATAAGATAGATGATGGTTGATTACAAATCTTGTTAATGATTTTGTAATATATACAATTGTAAATGTTAGCTGAAGAACAGCAAAATATGTATTAGAGCTGGACAATTAACATGAATAATCAATATAATTGATTTCCTATGAGCATCAGTTAGTGTCATGTAAAATGATTGGTTAATCAAAATTATAGTTATATTCACTAATGTCTCAAATAATCAACTAATTATAGTTATGGTTTTTACTATTTTTGATTATTCCAACTATCTAATTTTCATATAAGAATAATTAATTCAATGATGTTAACAATTAATGAATTAGCAAATTCCGTTAGTTGTTGAGCTGTAATATACATTAGCATGAAGTGGTCTCAGTAGATATGTAGCTACTCAAACCTCTGCAGAGAAAAGGTAACAAAAGGTTGAAATAGGTATTGACCCAAAACAGTAAATTGCCAAAGCTGGAGATGTGGGCTCTTTACAGATAAATTCAAGTAACTATTGTTGAGCAACAATGAATTAATAGTGGAGAGGAGAATAGTAATGCTTAACAGGTGAAAAGTTGTGATTGTGCCCCCTAAATTGCACCCATATATGTATAAAACATAGTTTTATTTAAAAACATTAATTTTAATATTTTATTTGAAAAAAACAACAACTTTTGACTGCACAAGGAAGTAGTACCCATCATTATAGATTTCTATCTATGCTTCTGGAATGATATAATGAATGTACATCATCTGCAGTGAAGCATGGTGGAGTATCAATACAAGTTTAGAACTGTATTTCACCCAAAATTGTCAGTGATATGCAGAAAATTTGCTAGCATCCTGACTGCACATTCTGATCTATCAGGAAGACTATCCATCAGACAGGGATTCATCTTCCAGCAAAGACAGTTGTCTCAAGCATAAAGTGAATGTAATGAAATGGTATCTTGGCAGTAATGAGACCAATAGAACATTCACAACCATGGTTTGTCTGGCATGAAACCCTGATGTGAACATTTTTGAAGCTATATGAGCTTGTGTAAAAAGTGAGAAGACTGAAAGGTGACCAAACAACGTGGCTGAATTGTAGGAAGTAATACTGAACATTATTCCAACATTATACATTGATGAATTATATGACAAGCTGAAAACAAACCATATCTATTTGTGACTCCTGTTTGTGTATCACTTGTGTGTTTTCATAATTGTTTCCATTAGTAGGTGAGTGTATGTAATATGTCGGTGTCAATGTAAAATTCTCATATTTAACCAGTACATGCAGTTGTATGTTAATGCCAGTTTTTTCTTTTTTTTGGACCAGAGAGTTAAAACAAAGCATAGGATTTGTTTATTAACTTACAAATTTTCTACTGTTCTAACTAAAAAAAATCTGAATATTTTTAGATCTAATATTGGGCCATGCTGTAGTTTGACCAGATTAGACATAATTCTTTTTTAAATTTGACTTCTGAAAACAAAGTAGGGAAAACCTATCTTTAAAGAAACCTCATTTAATGTAACTTTTGAAGTTACATTAAAAGTTATTGTAGGTGGATGGGTAAATTAGTACATAGTAACATGAGAATGTGATTATTTCACAAAATGTAAAAATTACACTTGCTTGCCCATCAAAAAAGTTAAAACTTTAAAGAAATTTTAAAACAGTGTTAAATATTTGTGCTGATGTTTATTTTCATGTTGGTGAATCAAACTTTTGTAGTTGTATACTTTAATCTGAATGCACTTAAATATTTTATGTTGGAATTATTTGTTTGTTAGTAATTTTGAAAGACTCAAACATTTTCAGTTTATTGAATTTTTAATGCATCTGTAATATTTATAATATATCCTGTATGTATTTATATTTTGACAGCAACAGCGAGTTTATTAGCCCAACTGAAGCCTTCTGAAGTGAATGAGAATCATCATCCAGGTTGGGAAACATGGCAGTGTGCCTTTGCACCTGATGAATCTTACTTTGCATGGTCTTGTGGAAATCGTCTTGTCACACTTGTACCTTGGAACAGATGCAAGTCCACTTTGTAAGTTAGCCTTTTCTGCCTTGTTAGTCCTTGTGATGTTTGACATTTTTTTGAAACCGTTTTTAGTTTCATTGTATTCTATAGTCCTTGTGATTTGACGTTTTTCATATTTTAACCAATTTTTGTGATGTTTTCTTTCCTCCAACCATCTTGTTATTAGTCTTTGACATTTTTTAGTTATTCAAGCCTTTCAAAGTAAGTTTTGCGATGTTTATTATTCTTACAACCATTCTTGTCTTGTAATGGTTAGTATTCTTGTGCCAGGTCCAATTTTGGTTATTTTCATAAAAAAGTTTAAGTTAACAACAAAAGACTAATCACACTCCAGAAAAAATACTATTTAAACCCTATGTTTAGGATTACTCCTTTCTTAAGGATTACAGAGTCACACACAAATCCAAACTGATAACTGAAAAAAACACGTACAGCAATTAAAAACTGACTTAACCCTCAACTGGTAGAGTGGAGTTGAAATGATCCACGTCGATTTTTCAAGTCGTTATTTGTATCATAAATAGTAGGGTAGGTCAAAATGATCATAATATAATCAAAAATATTATCTTTATAATACTTCTGGGTCAGAATGACTCACAAACGACAAACAAATGATTACAACAGTAAGACAGAGAATTGCAACAGCACATCTCTGTTCAACACTGAAGAACTGATTTAGAATAGAGTACAGAAAATATCGGGTAGAAAGTGACACTAGCTGAGTTGGAATACTGACTTGAAAAATCGATGTGGCTCATTCTGATCCCATCCTGCTACTTGGATGGTATCAATAGTAATGTCATGTTATCGCATGCACGTTAAAAGAAATTAGAATGACCAACTGAAAGAAAATCGCAAGCTATCGAACAAAAATAAAAATAATAAAAGTAATTGAAAAGGTCAAGAATTATTTCTATTTATTCTAGGTTTATAAGAGTGGATCAGGTGAGATTCTTTGAATTTACGATCAAGAAAACTATTACATTTTGCTAAGAGTTTAATGTTAAATGGTGTTTTATCTACTATACAATGTTTCGTTAGAAAGTGTTTTAGTTCTTCTAATTACTTTTAACGTGCGTGTGATAATTACTATTCTTAATTCAATTTTTAATTTTTGTGTGTTCTTTTCAGTTATCAGTTTATTTTGTTGTGCAGTTATTCCTTATAAAAGTGCATACATTCATTTGAAAGCATTTTATTCTTCAAGATGACACTGCTATTTTTATAGTTTATGGTATAAGGAGAAAAAGCTGTCAGTAAGGCAAATTGTAATATTAGTATTTTACTGATTCCTGTGTGTACGAGTTTAAAAGTTGAAGAGAGAGAGAGAGAAATAACTTCTTTGGTTATTTTATTCTTATTTGACCATAAGTTTAACACAAGTCACATGTTCATATTATGTTAACATTGTTATTTTTTGTCAGCCCAAACAACCATTTCCAAACGCAAATAACTGCTTATAATATTAATAATAATAACTACGTATAGATATGTATTTTTACTTAAATCAAATTTGTTTTGGAGTTTGGAGATATAGAAGGTATTGGAATATATTATATAGTATTGAAGAGGAAAATAGTGAATTTTGTATTAGTTCACTGTGTGAGATGCTGGAAGAGGCGTCGCTGGCAGTCTGGCACACAGGGCCCGTGCCTATTGACCGAGCTCCGAATCTTTTTAAGAACCTAACGATGCCTCTGCCTGCTGGAAAGATGTGGGTCACTGTGAATGAACTAAGGAATTTATTACAGTAGTAACAAGCATAAAGTAGGATTAGCTCACACTAAGAAATTAAAGAGTAGGTTACAACACGTTTTAAATATTTTTTTTTTTTATTTCTGAAAGATGACATTTTCGAGCTAGTGCTCTTCTTTATATCGTAAAGCTTAGAACAAAAATGCACGTGCAGAATTTATAAATAACATACATGACATTTTGAACGTTAGGTTACAAATGTCTTTGAAAAATTACATCTTTTACGCAAATATTATATACAGGTTAAGATTGAAAATGAAACAAAATATGAAGAAAGTGAAATTTTATAAGAAAGAAATTTTCACGTAAACCATGGTTATCGTAGGGTTCACAGATTGTAGATTAATTTCCTTTATAGTCGTTCTGTTTTGTGAGTGTCTGGGTGTTTTGTAAACTTTCGACAAAGGGTAATAAAATCTCATCAAAATAACTGGATATTTGTTCTGTGGGGCAACTGCATATAGATAAAACAGGTCGGTCCAGATGTATTTCTTTGTGAATTTTCGGGTGAATATAGAAGATGGGTGTTCTAGGCTCAATTAAGATAAGATTTTTGGCTGTAGTGAGTAATTCGTTTGGATCAATCATTTGTAGATGTTACTAGGCTGTTGAAATCGGGAATTGGGTTGTCTTGAAGTGGAGTGTGGAAAGTACTGTTATATTGTTTTAAAGCTTCTGTTATTTATAAACCCTTAATCCAAATTATGATGGATCCACCTTTGCTTGCTGGTTTGTCGCACATTATTTTAGGTTAATTGCTTGTTGTGCGAGATATTCTTAGACTTAGTATTCTGGTTTAAATTTAATTCATTGAATTCATTCCAACATTTTTGAAGGAAGTAGTTAAGTGTGGTGAACTCACTGGAAGGTGTCGTCCATAAAGAATGTTTTGGAGATAACTTAGAAAAAAAGATCACATGTATGAGTAATTTTAGTATAGGTTTGAGAAGTTTTAGAAAAATGGGTTTTAAGTCTTAATCTATAAAAAAAATCGTTCGATAGCTTCCATTGTGCAAACGGGACAAACTTAAATCCTTTATTTAGAATGTTCAATTCACTGGGCAAGAGTTTTATATCACTGGGAGTTGTAACAACTTGGATAAGTTCATTATATTCTGAATCATTGGATGCGTTCTTGGTGTGTTGTCTTTAAGTGGAGGAATATTTTTTGTATTTGATGTGGGTATGTCTGAAACCTTCCCTGTTAAAATTACAAAGTTCCACTTCAAATTGTTAGGAGAGCATCTGAATTTGGGAAATATGGATTCATATGTAGGAGTTGTTATAATATGTTTGTCGATCTGTAATTCATGTATTTTGTTTTCAGTCTATGAATGGCCATTGTGTAGCATTATAGAAGGATCATTATGAAAATTCACGTTGATAGCACTGTTTTAAAGAGTCAAATTTGGTGTAAGCTTGTATATGGTTTCAAGCCGATTATTTCGTTGTAGTGTTATAATTTTGATATTTTAACGTTTTCAGAAAATTGTGATAGTTATGGTTGACTTAATGAAAATTTTAAAATGCCTTTAGAAATTTTCTTTCGGTGTTGTACTCTGTTGTTAAAATCTATATCGTGAAGTCGAAGCATAGTTTGTACGTTTCAAAACATAAGACATCGTGATATTCAATTTTTTATTTAAACTTATTTTGTAACTGACAGTTAGGAGGGTTAAATTTTAACTGAAATTCATTAGGAATCAGATCTTTTCGAAGGCATTTGCTAATGAACACAATGTGAGAGTTGTATTTAGTTTTTTATTGTTTTTTGTTTTAGCAGCAAAAATGACTTTTAAACCCGATTGTTTTAATGATCTTGAAGATGATACTGCTGGTTTTGTAGTTTATCATTTAAGTACAGAGTAAAAGCTGTCAGTAAGGCAAAATACAGTATTAATATTTTACTGTTTGGGTTATTTTATTCGTATTTGATCCTAAGATTCTTTGTTGGCCCAAACAACCATTTAGGTCTACCTTTAAAACTGATTGTATTAACGACCCTAAAGATAAATACAATTTGCTGTCTGAGAGAATTATAAAACTGTCTGGCTTTAGGCATTTTTTCCGGTGCAGAAATCTTATAGAAAGAAGTAAATATAATTGACTGCAGAGGCAACAAAGACATTAAAATTAAATAATAGGTTACAAAATCGCAAAGTTTTATATATTTTAATTTTTTGAAGATGACGTTTTAAGTTATTTACCTTGTTCAATATAACACTAAGTCCTTTTTCTTGTTCATTAGGACGTAAATATTTTCATAAAACTGGTTATTGTATTATTTACCACGAGTTAGCAACCTACTGGTAGTAATTTTTCAGAAGTTCCATACATTTCAGTTATTAAGCAGATACTTGTCCTGGCATAATGTCAAAGGATAAAGATTAATTTATTTTCTGTTTATGCCGGCTGGTAAATTTTAACACTTGTTTAATGTTTAATCTTACAAAATACATACCAATACAATGAAAAAGCTTTGGTGTATATTTGGCTTAGATTTTGCAACAACAAAATACAAAGTATTACTATTATTGTTGATTGATTAAATTTAAATGAAGTAATTGTTCAAGTAATTCCTTTTAAAAGTCTTACTACAACAAAACACAACAACAAAATACAAAGTATTACTATTATTGTTGATTGATTAAATTTAAATGAAGTAATTGTTCAAGTAATTCCTTTTAAAAGTCTTACTACAAGCTAACATTAGGAACCAAAAAACCAATTAGTATTCATGGTAAAACAACGAACAGGTGAGTTAAAAGAATATTTTCTGTCCGTTTATGCATCAATTAGGCCACATTTATCAGAGATTTTGGCTCAGCTAGTTCTTCCAAAGCCTGGGACCAGGTAAGGCTGTTTTGTGAAGATCTGTGTATGACTAATACTATAAAAATTAGATGCTTCTGTGTTCATAGTAGTGTTTATTTTTACTTTTGCACTTGTGAAATTATTATGCTCATTTAACTTAAGCACGCCCACCAATAACCTAAAACTAAGAGCATGGTTGCATGTGTTTCTTTAAAATTAAGGAAATATTCTAAATTTATAATCGTGCTTCCTCCACAAAATCTATTTTCCAAACAACCTTTTTATTATGTTAAACCTGGGAAAAATCTACCTTAAGATCAAAGTTAAAACCTAAAATACGATTCATTTCACAAGGCTTTATAGTAGATCAACCATGCAGAAAATATTCCTCTAGACAAAACATTTGACGGCATTTTTGTTTTGTTTTGTTAAAAAGC